GGAGGAGCTGTCAATCACGGCCCACTGCGGTGCGAAAGGGGAGGTAATAAGCTGTAAGCCCTCTCAGTGGGGAGCGTTTCGACAGCAGGCTTTACACACTTGACACTCTCGCTCTCTCACACTCACGCTGAATCCCCTAGAATATTGGCAGCAGTGGGAGGTTGGAGCAATCTCCGCAATTGGACCCTGGAGTTCACTCCGCTCCCAGGATAATTTCCTGCACCCCCTTCGCTTTGAAACATAGAGGTTTTATCTGAATTCCTTTAGTTGTCCCACAGAGGGGAAATGTACATTGTTGCAGCAAAAGTAAAGATAGAAAGAAAATAACGCACTATAAGATATAGGGCATGCATTAAAATTACAATTTAAAAAGGTTTTACAATTGACAAAGTACACATTTGGGTAGAAAAGTAGCAGTTGACGCAGTATTTATGAAATAAATTAAGTGTAACATGTAGACTGAAGTGTGGTAGAAGCTAGATAACAGAAGTTAAATGATATATTGCACTATATTTCATTATATTATACAGATTGTTTTTACAGTATTCAAATGGTCCAACTATGAAAGCAGCCAGTAATAACAGGAATGTTATTGTTATTGCACAACAGTGGCGCTGTAGTCTTTGTTTGTTTTCATTTTGCTTTTTGACATTATCGCACGTTCGTTTATTTTTGATTTGGATGTTTGCAGATCATACGGTTCAGTCATTTTGAGAAATGTAGTTTTATCGGTACATTGCTTGACAGATTATGTAAATATGGATTACTTTAGGATATAAAGTAAGCAGAGGAGGGAGACCATTTCCCGCTATTCAGGGCCACGACAGTTTGATAACACGTGCACATGGTGTCACGCAGAGCCTCCAGCCATGTTAATGAGCCGCAGAATATTGCCACGATGTATGGCGGGGCAAACAGAGCGGTGGCTCCATCATGCCAGCAGCAACTCATGGCTGACTTACAGCTGGCACTGAATCACCGTTAACTACCGGGGCGGCTTCTGCTGACACAAATCTCGTCTGCGACCAGGGTGTTTGAGCCGTGCAACAGGCTAAAGAGGCGTGGGGCTTACCGGCCGATCAATCACTCATTCACCACCTCCTCGGATAACAGCTCTCACTGCCAAACCAAATGATTTCTGGTCCTGTTGCATGCTGTCTGCGTTCACAGTCTGTTTACTCACGGCTGTGTGTTAGAGCGACAGATCATGTTTTCACTAGGGATGCTAGCGATTATTCGATTTTTCGAATATTCGTTACAGTCTCCATAATCGAAAATTATTTTTAAAATTCGATTTTACTTATATATATTTTTATTATTATTTATGTTTTTCTTTTTTTTCCTGGCTTAGTTTCAACCAAAATATAGACTAATGCTAATAATAGTAATAGTATTAATAACTGTAAATGGCCAGTTTGTTTTACTGTAAACTTGGAGGAAGCCAGCAGTGCAGGCTGCGCAGAGTGCAGACTGCTGCAGCCTGCTACACACCGACCCCCCCCCCCCCCCCCCCCCCCCCCCTCTCCATCACACGTGCGATTGATTTATTGGCGATATACAGAACAGTGAGAACAACACAACTAAAGATGGGGGGTGGCGAATAATCGATTAATATTCGCCAGGGCTGTCCGATTTTCGAATTTGATCATGGTCAGTTTCTGGCATCCCTAGTTTTCACCGAGAGGCTGCGAGCACATGTCGTTGTTGTAGCTTCGCTCACAGCATTGTTATCAGTCAGATAACTTGTGTGCTTTTATATAAATTATATATTTTAATCTATGTTTTTATTGTGTATTGTGTTTTTTCTTCATTCGTCTGATCTTTTAATGCTTTGTCAAGCACTTTGTGACTATGTCTGTGAAAAGCGCTTTATAAATACATTTGACTTACTCTTTCTAAATGGCATTTTGATGATTTAACAATGGATCAGTCATTTGGAGATACTTGAAGGACCCACAGGATTCACATAGTGTGGGGTGAATTATGTCATCCGACTAGGAATGGTAGATTAATACTGAAGTGTTTGAAATGTCCCCCTACTTTAATAATGACAATCATTTACCGTCAGTCGGCAAAGTGATACCTCAGTCCCCAGCTAGAAGTCTGTCTTTGACACCTGAGCCACTGGCGTATTATTACAGGTGTTAATGTGCAGGGACATATATCAAAATGACAAGACTGAAATCTGAAGTTCTGGTTGGCCAGCCTGTCTCTTGTCACAATCTGTCATCCTTGATTGAGTGCATGCCTGAAAGCACCAGTCTATGGTATGAGTCTCAGACTGATCCTTGTTTCCTCATGAACTTCCTCATCTGGCTGGTTTATTTATAACAATGTGTATTTTTAAAACATAGGATGAATTGATGAAACTTCCCTAGTCTAAAGATGTTGAAATAGATCCAACTTCTGCATTATTTTTGGCATCAGACCAACAACTGTGTTTATTTTCATTGCTGGTGTCGTCTTCTCTGTTTCTCGTAAGGTCTCCCTTTCTGTTGGTCACTTGTTAGCAGACCCTTCACGTGACAGGTACAGGAGGCGTAGAGCCAGGGATCATTGTTCATATAGTTAATCGATCGCAGATGGCGTCGTGCTCGCGGTCAAACAAAAACCTAAATGGATCGCGAAATATACTTTGGCGGCCGTTAATATACCTGGGCGGCCCAAACCCTGGAAGTAATTCACCTTGATTGAAATGAAATTGGGATCAATTTGATGGGAACAGGACAGGCTCTGCAATTATGAAGCTGGAATGGGATGGGAAGAACATTTCACTCCCCTATAACCCTCTATTGGAGGCGCCTAGGGATGACCAGGTGGAAAGAGCCCCAGGCCTCAGACTACCAGAGCAGCTAATGGATCCTGGATCAACGGCCCAGGGCTCCTCAGCTTTCACATCAGCTGGTGTATCGAAGGAGTGTAGTGCGAACGTAATGACATGATGCTCTATTACGCCACGATTGGTTGCTTTCTGATTGGCTTCGCGCCCCCACCCCCTCCTCCTCAACGAAACGACATCCCCTGTCTGTAATAAGCCACAACAGCGGGGAGGGAGACTTAATGAGCTTCATGGAAACATTGGCGGAAGAAAAGGTTGCAAAAGATTGTTAAAAGACTCTACTGTGCTAAAACAGACTGAGTGCAGTGTCAATTGTGAAAGGTTGGAAGTGCAGAAACGAGAGTAACTGGACTGGCAATATGATGTTGCCAAATTTGAAACACTGAGGCTAACCACTTAAGCAGCTGTCTGAGAAACCACTCTCCACAGAAAGCCACAGAAATCAGCGTCATCTGCCTGACACACGTATTGAGCTGCTTCTGTTTTCCATCACACTCTGAAAGCGAAACCAGAAATCATTTGTTTTCACTGTCAACGCTTCATTTTCCAGCAGTAACACTTGTCTATCTGGCTCCGTGCTTACACTCTGAGTTTCTACAACTTTCAAAAGTCCCTTCTCGACCACAGATATCCAGTCCTGAGAATCAAGGGGACCTCATCTCCACTGTTGGGATTTCACCAAATACCCTTCCTGCCAAGACTAGAATTAGGTTTGGAAGGGTTGGGTATACACAGCTAGCTTGTATAGCGTGTGTGTCTTTGTTCAACGGCCTCCTGAGCAGCAACCAAGTCCCTCTGCCAGGCTGTTTGTTTGCACGCTAAGCTTTTCAACTGCGTGTTTGTGTGTGTATGAGCGTACTTGTGGTTTACTCCTCACCGTGCTTGCCCAGCGCTGGCCTGTGATTATCCGTGCTGCTGGCTGCAGTTTGGTCTCTGGAAGGCTCCAGTCATCCTCCCCTCCCCTCCCCCCTGATCCTCTGCCTTTTCCCAGATGCTGCCAGCTGGTGTCCATTGAAGGCAGGTGTGTGTTGGCTCGGGCAGTCTGACTGGTTAGCGTTTGGCCTCACAATTTCAGGCCCTGCACATCTGCACAGCCGATGGAGCAAGGTGCAGCTCTTTCTGCATGTGTGTTTGAAACAGTTTAGTGGCCATACAACAGCATGGAAAAGGATGGCTTTATATGACCTGGCATAAGTAGGCCTTAGGGCCCGTATCCACATAGCAACAGCATATTTTTTCAATGGATTTCAATGAGAACAGTGCACACAGCGACAGAAGCGGCCGTATCCAGAAGAAGTGCAGTGACATACTCGTTTGTTTTGCGGCTGCTTCGAGTTTAAAATATTCAAACTTCTCAGAAAATCCCCGGGGATAACTCTGTAGAAAGCTTGATTTCCCCTCGGGTCACTGCAAGGTCCCACCAGACGGATAGTACAAGCTGTGATGTCCATCTCAATCTTTAGCTGAAAGATAATGTCCTTAAAGTTAGTTCAATATGCAGCGTTTGGGAAAACTGACGGTGGCTTACAGCGTGACACTTTTCTGTGTTCTGCTTTGTTATGACATTGTTTCCTTCCTTGGCCAAGCCTTTAAATAAACCCTCTGTTGTTAGACACAGTCTGTTGTCAGTTCAAGCTTCCAGCAGCCTTTTGGGAGGGAAACTGGGAAGGGAACTTTGGGATTTTAGCCTTTGTAGACCATTAACAGAAACCTATATAACACACTACAGAAAAGGGAAAACCCCAAAAAGCTAATACGGCCTATTTATTTGGACTGATTGGAAAATGAGAGAAAGGGTGGCAGTCTCTCTGTGGTTGCTGTTGGGGTCAGTCAGTGGATCAGCTACATCATGTTCACCTGAATCTCAGTCTGTGACAAATGGGGTCAACCCTGCAGAAATCAGATTAGAGGACCTAAGTGACGTTTGCCAAATGTCCCACCTTGTTATCCCGTGCATTCATTTGATTACAGCCGCGAGCTAATGAGATGAACCCTCAAAGCAGAGCTGCTCCACCAGGAAGCGGCTGCTGAGACCTACCTCTGCTGCTTTCCCTTTCTCCGTCACCAAGCTCTAGGTTCACTCGCCTCTCTTTGTCAGCCGTAGTGTGAGCGCTACCACTACGAGACTAATCCATCTTTATGCCTTGGATCTCCTCCACAGGAAACCCAGGATCAACTCCCAGCTGGTTGCTCAGCAGGTGGCTCAGCAGTACCCCATGCCTCCCCCGCCCAAGAAGGAGCGGAGGGAGAGGAGCGAGCGCTCGGACAAGGAGCGTCCAGACGGCGAAGGAGAGCGCGCCTTCGGAGAGGTTCGTCCAGAGGTGGAGCGTCCAGAGGTGGAGCGTCCAGAGGTAGAGCGTGCCGAGGTGGAGCGTCCAGAGATCAGGAGGCCAGAGGGAGACGCTCCGGAGAAGGAAAAGAGCGACACAGAACAACAGCCAATCAAAGACAAACCCGACAGAGAGAGGGGAATCATCGCCGCCGTCACGAAGAAGCCCAGCAGCAAAAAGACCAGGTCAGTAAACGTATAGTCTGTTTATCTGTGTGGGTATTGTTACGTCCCTTATAAATAGGGAGAACAAAGGCAATGTGGTTAAAGTCAACTGCATTAAAAAAAAAACACAGCATTTTACAAATATGTTCAAAAAGCTTATTTTTTTTTAGAGACAAACCTTTTTGTTGTGACACACCTTTTAATTTCTTTAATATTACTGTCACAATAAGTCTTTCACAAAACCTTTCTCACACACTCGGCAAAAGCAGCAGAAACTCTCTTTCAAATTCTACTTCAGTACAAAACGTAATCATGAGTGAGAGATCTGTTTCCTCAGCGAGGACGTTACTGAGGTGAAGAAAATACTGCAAATTCCCTTGATATGATGGTGGAGACCAAAGCAAACGATTTAAGGATTAAGACTAACTAGTAGATCACAGTTCAACACAGTTTTAAACACTAACGTCAGCACTTACTAACAATTTTTAAACATGTACGCATACAACTGCATTACCCACTTTTATGGTTATTGTCAATAAGTGTATGAAAAGTGTAATTTATGATCTTGTTAACCTTAACATGATGAAGAGTGTCTTTCTCATTGACATGTTTTTTTGTTTTGTTCCTCCAGACCCAAATCAGACAACCACCAGAGCCCCCCCAGTGAAAAACACAGCATACAGTCTGGCAAATCAGTGACCAAGACCAACAAGAACTCTCACATCTCCAGGTGTGTATCCCCCCCCCCCCCTCACCTCCCCCCCCACCCCCCCCCTCACAGTCTGCGAGGTTTCTCATTTCTAACGCAGCACTCGTCCTCAGAGAGATCCTGCAGCACAAGGCTGGTGGGAAAGCTCAAATGATTCACAAATGATCTTTTACACTAAACACCCACTCTCACTTTATACACACTCGTTCTGACGGATCATGTGTCACCCCGTGAATTGAGCAATTTAGTGCAACCGCCCCCACAGCACTGACACCCCCCCCCCCCCCCCTTCTCTCATTGTCGGCGAGATACATATTGTGGTTGCTGTTTTTCTGGTTTTTATCTTAATGTGTGCATATTAGGGCTGCTCAATTAATCGTATTTTAATCGCAATTACGATTTTGGCTTGCAACAATTATGAAAACAACATAATCTAAATAAAACGATTATTTTATTTTATTTTTTATTGGTTTTTCAGTTGAATTATACTTAAAGTTCAGGGTAATCAACTGTTAAAAACATACTGTTCACATTTTTCTTTTCAATAAATGGATGTTTTCAAAGTAAATGGATAATCGTTTTTAATAATCGTGATATCAATTATTGACCGAAATAATCGAGATTATGATTTTTGCCATAATCGAGCAGCCCTAGTGCATATGTATAAATGTGTCTGTTGATTGTGTATATATAGGATATACATCTTTTTATACATATTTGTATTTTTGTATTCGGGATTGTGGGAAACGGTATTTCGATCTCTGTCTGTACTTGACTTTAATTTGTTGGATAGATACAAGTTTCAAGGCTTTTATTGTCATGTGTACATAGCTACAGTGTAGATATGGTCCCAGGCTCCTCCAACAGCGCAACACAATAACACAGATACATAGACTGATACATATTGTGGTTGCTGTTTTCTTGTTTGTTAATGCTCTTATTTTCCGTGTGCGCCCCTCAGGCCCAGACTGAAGAACATCGACCGGAGCACCGCGCAGCAGCTGGCCATCACCGTGGGCAACGTGACGGTGATCATAACAGACTTTAAGGAGAAGACCCGCTCCTCCTCCACGTCCTCGTCCACCATCACGTCCAGCGTGGGCTCCGAACAGCAGCACCAGAGCTCCGGCTCCGAGAGCATGGACAAGGGCTCGTCGCGGGCCTCCACGCCTAAAGGGGAGCTCTCTGTGGGGCACGACGAGTCCTTCTGAGAGCCCCCCCCCCCCCTCCCCTACGGCCCCCTTTTTTCCCCTCCTCCCGTCCTCACCCCTGTTCCAACCAAACCCCATATTTCTCCCACATTTCTGGACACTATGGATGGAGAGATTTCCTCCTTTTTCCCCATCGCTGACCCCTGCCTCCATTCCATCCCCAGTCCCCGATGCTAAGAGGATGGATGAGAGGGAAACTAAATGCTCTTCTGGGGGCGAACTCGGGCTACAAGGAATAACCCCTCCCCCCCTCCCATCCCCAAACTCCCCTCGCGGTAGCATCGAGACACTTGTTTTGTTTTATATTTGTACGTGGATGTGAGGCCATGTTTTTTTTTTTTTTTGTAAAGAAGATAATCTCCGCTGGGCACAATAACCCCAACATCATTTCAATAACTATTATTATTATTACCCTTACTCCCTATAGAGTGGTGCAGTGACGAGTCCTAAAACCAGGAAGTGAGTTAGCATTTTACCACTACCGGTTCCCTCGTCTCAGAGCCAATGGGATCTCTCCATAGGATTTTGGAAAATAGCTGGAAATAAGGTCTGTGGTTGACACACATTTAACTTGTACAATTTATTTTTTCATTTCATTTCAATCTTTATTTCGAACAGATAATTTTTTTTTTTTTTTTTTAAATAACAAATGTGAAAAACAGAATACCGTATTGTTAAAATACAGTATTTATCCACATTCATGATAATATTTATATATTCAACAAAAAAGGTCTTCATATTAAAGGTGGGGTAGGTAATTTTTGAGAAACCAGCTCGAGTGCGCTAGAATTTGAAAATACACAACCGGAGAAAATCTGCCACTTCCTTCACAAAAAGTGTATCTCGAGCCGGTTTCTCAAACTTACCTACCCCACCTTTAATAATAATAATTACATTTTTTTAGAATCTGTATGTTTGAATATGGATCTTAAGTTGGCGTGACGTTGAAGTCGTGCGACCCTGCTGTACTCGGCTGTAGCTCGTTTATAGCATAACGTTAGCATTTTGCTTCTGGCGATTAGATTTACGATTCGAACATTATAAAAGTAGGGTAGACATGTGGATATTATCCGGCTGAACAAAACGTGCATCTATCGAACAGGTTCGTTTTCCACAGACCTTATTTCTAGCTATTTTCCAAAATCCTATGGAGAAATCCCGTAGCTTTTTAGTCGAGGGAACCCATGCGCAGCTTACTTCCAGGTAAATACGTCCTCCCTGCACCGCTCTATCGCACCTGTATACTTTGGTATTCTCCTCCTTTATGTTCAAGCTTTGCTGTGTAGCCCTGACGATCCATCATTCCTTCAGTGTTTTTATGAAGATGATATGACACCACACACATAAACACACACACACACACTGGTGCTAGATACACTGTGAAGCGGTTTTGCAGATCTGGAAACGCCCATTCACTCAATGTGACTGATGACTCAGATTCACTTTTCTCTCAATAACACTGTCTCACTCCGACCTCCGTCTGTTCATCCGAAGGTCATCTGAGGGTCAGACTAGTTCAGCTAGATTGTCTATGATTTAGTATGCTATAGCAGATCTCTTATACAGTATCTTATGTCCTTAACTGTACAGTGTAGGCTGTTGTGTAAAACACTAAAAGCTGTTTGCTATTTTTCCGTATTCCTTTCATGGATATTGGGTTTTCCTGGCTCCAAGTTAGAGAGTTATTCTTCTGTTGTGACTGAAGGATGGTTCCACGCGGTTCCTGTTGGTAAAACCGTACCGAACTTTAAAGTGTTGTGTCGAGCTGTTGTGAATCACACTTTACTTTTTATTTTTGGTTGTGATCCTCCGCCTTTTCCCCCTTTTTAAATCTCCACTCTCTCAACCTGAAATATCCGAGAAAACTAAGTGCAAAGACGTGATCAATTTGCAAAATATTGACAATTCACCTTTTTTGTCGTTTTAATTTAAATTAATTTAAGACTCCTGTCATTGAAGGCAAACAAATATTGCAGTAGTTTATAAAACATAAATGCTCTTTCAATTTTTTTTTAAGTACAGCAAGGCTTATTTAAGGGTTTTAAATTCCCCTAGCTGATACTTAGACCAACATAATTTCCTTTTTAAAGTGTATTAAATTGTATAAAGAATAAATGTGTATATGATATCCTAGTTTTATTTATTGAAGGACCAAAGGAATTTCATAATGACATGATACATAGACAGATAAATAACAATTTGAAATGCAATTATCTAATGTGTGAGATGAATAACAGTTCAAATAAAGACTAATATAATCCATGTTAATGGTGTTCTTATTGTCCATTTGTCCCTTAGCTAATGATCAATGCTGTGAGTCCAAAAACACCCAGTAGGTGGATGTTGCCCTAATTTTTGAAGCAAGAGAAATGCTGAGAAAAGCTCCGGGTCGAATCCTTTGACCTTAGTAACCCCCCGTCTTCACTCCCACAGACTCACAAAGCAACTAAAACCAGGTGAGGTGGGGTCAACAAGTCCCCAAAAACTCCAAATATCCCACTATAGGATGTGAGGGGTTTGTTCTGTGTCCACTAAGAGCTTTTCAGTTTCACACGTAGGAAAGTCCAAGAGGGATGAGTTCATGAGGATCTTCTGCTCTTAAGATAATGTCATTATGTACTTGATTGCATACAAATAAGGAATAAAGTGTTCCAAGTGAGGAGAAGCAATGTGAATACAACTCAACCAGTGGGACTGTTGGGTCAGAGGGGGAAAACAAATCCACTTTTAACTGAGGAAATAAAAAGAAACCATGCTTTGTAATGCAATCTATTAGAAATGGGCCTAAAAAGCCAAGTTTCCACCTGCCTTATCTGCAACTTGACTGAGGACTCCGACAGAAAGGACTCATTGTTAAATTATTGACATATGGCCATTTGCTGAATATATGAATTATTGCTTGTATATAGGATTTTCAAAAGGTGCAACATGAATGATGGCATTGGAGCTGAAGTCTTGTTTCCTGTTTCCGCGCAAGCAATTCTGTTCTTGTGTGCGACCAGTAACCTTAATTTACTGTGTAAAGATGGTTACATTTTTTAGCTTTGTTTGTCAGAGACCAATATAAAGAAGGCTTGTTTACTGACTGTATAACCTTAACCGTGAATTTCCAATGAAGTGTATTATACAAACTCATTTCTTCCTATTACAGTGTCTTGTACAATGCTTTTTAAAGTTATTGCTCGGTTTCAAAAAGAGAAAAAAAGTATTAAAAAAAAAGTTTTAGGGACAGTACGATAATCCATTCTTTGTTTCTTGCATTTTGTGTTTAACTTATAGCTGATGTGTCATTGTGAAATGGTCACATTATGTTCCTGGTGTGGAAAGTACGCAGCATTTTCAGCGGATCACGGCTCCTTGTCTAGCTTATAATGTTAAAATAATACATGTTTCTGGCATGTGCACGACTTTGCGCTTATAGGCTAACCTGATCAGTTTCCTCCGCTTCAAATAGAAACGTCTATTTATGAATTTTGCTTGTAGTTTTTCACAAATAAAATTGTTAAAGTTATCTATTTTTCTGGGTTGCTTTGTGTCCTTTATTCATCCACATGTGTATTTACAGACTCATGTCACTGCAGATATGCAGCTTAAAGCCATTGATGTAATGTAACTAAGTACATTTACTCAATTACTTCAGTAAAAAATGTGGGGTTTTAAAGGTGGGGTAGGTAAGTTGGAGAAACCAGCTCGAGTGCGCTAGAATTTGAAAATACACAACCGGAGAAAATCTGCCACTTCCTTACAGAGCCCCTCCTCCAACACACACGAACGCGCACATGACCAATGAGGGCACGAGATAAGTTTGTGCACAGATGGAAGGCTGACAGGCAGGTAGGCCATCCAGTTATTTTAGCCAGGCCGGCTAAAATGATTGGTCGTGCTTTTTACAGTATTACGGCTTCCACAGATGACATTTTTTTATGGATTTTTTGTCAAATCCCTTAAGATATTCATTGCTATCGGGATGTTAAGAGCATTCCATGGAATATAACAAAAAGTGTATCTCGAGCCGGTTTCTCAAACTTACCTACCCCACCTTTAACTTTACTTAAGTATTTTTACATTATAATACTTTATACTTTTACTCCACTACAGTTTGTAGGCAAATGTTGCACTTTATTTTACATATTTAGTTATTTTCTTTGCAGATTTAGTTTATAAATAGAAAAATAAACAGACAAACATTATAATATATTATTATAGGTTGAGCTGAGCCAGTAGTCTATGAAGTAATTCAACTAAACCCAACCTTTACCAAGTAGTGAACACATGGTGTAAAAGGCATAGATACATTTGATAAAATAATTTGAAATATCTGGTGCTTTAAATAATAATTTTTCATATTGAATACTTCTACTTTTGGTATTTTTTAATGCTAAACTTTTTTACGTTTACTCAAGTACAGTCTTGTGATAGAGTATTTTTATACTGTAGTATTGCAACTTATACTTACGTATATCATCTGAGTACTTCTTTCTCCTATGCTTAAAGTTTAATTACAACAGTATGCGGTAAAACCTTCTATGAACCAGAAAATCTTGTATCATGTGAACGCATGCTTTTTTATTTAAAGTGGACCTATCATGCTATATTTGAATAATATAGTGTAGGACCATACCTATATAAGGCCCTTCCCTGGAACACCGGGGACACATATTCATGTATAAAAGACGTACCAAAGTGCATTTTGCATGATAGGTCCACTTTAATTTTTTTTATTTAACAAAGCCCGGAGACACAAACAAGGACATGCCAACAATATAGGGGAGATGGCATTCCCATCTCACAAAAAAGTACAATAACAAAATACAATAAGTGTAACATCACTCACTGGAGAAAAACAAAAGAACACACAATGTGACTGCAGCGTTACACAGCGTCAGATAACAGGAAGTGTGTGTGGATCTGAGTCAGCAGACTATTGATCCAGATGAAATAAACATACATAACATTCATCTGTTCGCAACTCACGTATATCATATCAATATTCCAATTAGACTATTCTGCACAGTTTCTATCATATTCTGTTTCTATTATATTCTATGTTATTGTACTTGTACTATCTTATCTGTTTATTGTGTTGCAGTGTTGGAGGAGCCTGTGACCTAAGATGTTCATTGTCATAACTACACTGTAGCTATGCACACATGACAATAAAAGCCTTGAAACTTGAGATGAGGAGTGTGTCCACAGCAGAGGACTCCACTGAGCAACACACACACACACTGGTGCTAGATACACTGTCCCTACTCCACAGCAGAGGACACATGAGGGAGCCATCCTTCTGACAGCCTCTCATCCTCCATAGGCTGGAGAGCAGCCAATGAGCCGTCTGAAAGCTCCGGCCAATGGCTGCTCTCTGTCGCCACCATGATCTATACACATATGCAAGTCTAAGTGTTTTAAAATCACATTTACAGAGGGAGTGGGCTACTCCATTTCCCTCTGCTTCATTTAAAT